CATAAATACGAATCAATAAACAAAGTATAATGAGTATTATTTCTTATAGTACAAACGCTATAGGAAGTTACATTACTTATTGATCCGACCATAGTTACTACGTTCGAGCTACATCAGCTGTCAGTCAGTCGGTCACAACGCAGAATCTGTACGTACGCACACTGGTTCAAGTTGCCATGGCCTACTAGCAGAGAGATGTTGTCAGGCTAAATCCCAGAACATTAGAGAAAGTAACAGTATCAGTAGTATAGGAAGATTAGGCACCGAAGATACGAATCCAAAAGAAAATATCAATTGATGAAATCAAAACACAAAAAACAAGTCACCGGAAATTTTAAACCTCCGGTTGCCATGCTGCATTTGCACAACAAGATGAACACCGGATTCATAGGAGCGGTTAGGTCAAAGGTGGTAATATATTGTAGAAAGATAGCATATAAGGATATAGTATAGGAAGAAAGAATAAGATAGTAGAAAGAAAGATATGAAGTGATTTTAATCTCTTAGTTTAAGGGAAGACAGGGAGTCTATACACCGACGCCATTGTGAGCGATTCTAAGCCATGTCACCGACCCATTAGGACTGATCAGACTTCCAAGATAAGTGAAGTTGTCAACGCGTTCGACTACTTCACTCCCTATCCTTAGTTCACGTGTTGACGCAGACCAGTCCTGAAGCAATAACTATCATTTAGAGGGAGAGAAGCGCATTCCAAACATTCTGGCATTGTTGCTTAGTGCTGATGGTGAAACCAGGATTTTATGAAACACTGAGTAGATGCACAGGCGCCATTGCAAACGATTTCCAACCATGTCATTCAAAGTATCTAACCACTGATTGTGATAATCACGTGGAACCCAACCAGTAAATTTATACCTATTAACATGACCAAGTCCACATGTCACTTGCATCATGGGCCGATGTCAAGTCACGGTCTGGCCGCCCCTAGGTATCTTCCAACCCAATCGTGTACCAGATAATATCATCCGTCGATGTAAGCGGTGGTCGGGCGTACGTAACACATGCCCCAACCACCTCAGTTAATGAACATTTGCTACCTCATCAATGATCGCGATAAAATCCATTTTCGATTGTCTTCCAGTCAGTTGTAGAAATTTCACCATATCAGACGATGTCTTTTCATGCTATACAAGTAACCTATAAATGTCCTCTATTATCAGTGACCATGCTTCACACATATATTGTAGAACAGACCGAATTACTGAGCATCAAACTTATCCTTTAGTTGGCAAATGGATACCTTACCTCTGCTACAAGTGATGTAAGTTGATATAAGCCAACCGAGTTTTTTTATTTCGTAACGATCCCGCCAGCCAATCCTGAAGTAACATTTGGAGGAAGAGAACTGCATCTCAAATATGTCTGCATTGTTACTAAGGGTGGTCAATAGATTACATTTTGTCAGAGTCTACACAAAACAGAACCATGTCATCTGTGTATTTTAAGTCAACATGTGAGCCTCCCGTTAGAAGATAAACTCCTGGAGGACAATTCTGACAAACACAACTTGAAGTAACCTATTCCGAGGACAGTTCACCATGAGCTTTGTCTCGATGAAAAGTGTTATAGTAGAGATTCAGTACAAGGTTAATGTACTCATCAGTAACGGGATCAGTGGAGATTGTCAGGTGTATGAGTTATTCACATCAGATAATAAATGAAGGGTTGCGAAAGATCATGGATCGATTGTAGTTAGATATAAACACCGTTGGATGCCGACTTTGGCATTGGCAATCCACAAACTTAATCAATAACGAAGCCTTATGTAATTCCCAAATTCAGAAAACTAGATAAAGTGAAAATCGGAATTGTGAACAATCAACAAGATCCGACAGAGCTGTGTATAAGCTAAAACTACATGATAGACACACAGACACAAGCAACAAGTGTGAACTGTGGTGTACAGTTTTGACAGTTACTGTGTTGTTAGGTGTTTTATGTTCTTTTTGTATTCTGTAGTGACTGCGAAATACAATTCGATTCCGTCCACAGCAAATTTGATTTTTCAAATATCTATTATCCAAGTTTCATGCTGGACTCATAATTATTCCTAGGGGAAGTTATCAAAGAGCTTGTAATATATGCCTGTCATTTTAACAACTGATACACCATTTTTACACAGACAGTACCTTCGGTTATAATAAAGCGAGGAAACGATGACTGGTGCATAATAACATGAATTTATTTTATCTTGCTTGGTTTTCATCGGCTGTCGATTAATGTTTGTTGAAGTAAGGCAAATATTCTAATACCGATACTTATTTTTTACATCGTGCTCATCCTACTTCATATCAACCATTCAAAATATCTATAAAAACAGGCTATCATTGTTGCATCAATACGCGACAATATGATCTAAGCATTTATACATACATCTCGGAATCTGTGTACGTTGTAAGCTGAGTCTACTGTAGTTAATGTTTCAAAAATAATATTCCACTCAGCATCCTTAAGTCATCCTCTATATCACACCTTAGACGAATGTCTTACGGAAGGTGTCTTTTCCGATCAACAATATAACATTTTCAAGATAATGTACAGGTAACATCCGAACACTAGAATCTACCTTTCTGCCTTCTATTATTCAGCTAACCTGGAGCTGTTTGTTTAATGCTAATTAATCAAGTGAAATGATCGGCGAATGCTGTCATTTGTTCGAGTCTCAAAGTTGATGTTCATTCCATTACACAAGTCACTGGTTATTTCAACTCAGTGGCCATGTGGATAAACCGGTGATGGTGTTTGGAGAGAATGCTACTGGTTTCGATTTCCAAAGTGAACATCGAATCTGGAATGGTGGGACATGCAGCTGACGAATCCGAAACGGGAAGAAGCGTGCTTCACGAACTGCACTACTACACACCATCCACTTCTTGTTAAAATGTGTTGGGATATTCGGAAAAATATACCGATAGTTATCCTGTCACGTCTGATGGTGTCTTGGACTTTAAATGGACATTTCCTATTGGCCAATGTTTATTTCACTTGTCAAATATTGTACAAATGTTGTTTTCTATTTTATGGTACCACGTAGTCTGCTTGCTTGGTAAATAAACAGAATATGTTTGAAATATAGTGATTCATATCTCAGAGGCTGAGACGTGCGTTCTGGACACAACTGGCTGGGCTGGACAAGGAAGCAGGGTCAATCAAAACTCTAGGTCGTTCGTGCGTGTATTACGTGTCATTGATCCGATTGATAAGTCGCTGCACTCTCATCTGCAGTTCACAAAACACAACAAAATGCTTGTAACTTAATAACGACATTTAGGAAATACACAAAAGATGTATATATCAGAAAGCGACTGGGTAATTGTAGTCCCTAGCATCAACGGGAAGATCCAGGCAACCAATATATCTGTCGTTGTTAGTTGTATACGTTGTGCTTAATGTACAGACTAAAACTGATTTGCAATGTGCTGTTAAACTAACGGTTAAATCAACTGTCGTTCGACATGGCAGCTGGTCACTCATGCATTATGTATACTACGTGTTCTTCAGTAAAATGTGATCACCAGTAAACAAACAAATAGAACGAAATGTGATGCTGAGAATTATAATTTATTCTAATGAGTGTAACAAAACATCAAGCACATTTGAAGATGAGATAATCAAGAGCCAACTTTTCCGTTGCATACAATAAATGATTTCTACATTTGTGTTGTAGTTATTCAGTCTTCGTTAACTGCCTCCTAGGATTGCAATGATTGCAGTGGTCCACATTGTCTAAAATGTTTGACAAAAGAGAAGAAATCAAGTTATATTACCAACACTCGACATTTAAGTTGCTTTGTAAACAAAGTCTTAGTGTGCAGAAGTGCTACGCCACTCGTCCATATCTTCGAGTTGTCTATCTTCATTCTTGACTGCAAAGTTTGAAACAGTTTTAACTTTTCTATACGCTTTTTAAATACATCAAGCAAACACTTTTCATATCTCTCTTCTAAGTTATTTATATTCTGGCCACCTCCTGACGATTACGTTATTTTAAAAGTGTTTGCATAACTTTGGATGCATTTTTAATAGTGTAAAGATTATCTATCTATCTTTTCTCAAATCACTTTGTGATTAGTGGCTACGATTGCATTCATGGGGCTTTATTAATTGGCATTACCAAAAGGAAAACTTTCTTCACGTAACTGTGTTCGTTTAAACGTAAGGTGATAGGTGGTTAACAAGTGAGTTATTTGTGATGCAACTAGCCTATTGTGGAGTTGAATTATTTAAAGTTGACTGATCGCTGATTTTGACTAATCTCATGTTTAGTTGAAGTTAGTTGATTTGAAGTTCTCACTTTTCAGACTATAAAGCTGTGTGACATGTGCACGAATCATTCCGGTGATGCAACACTTCTCTCATAACTATATGTACTCCTTGTTGATAAATATCAACTTACGTCTGAAAATTTCTCGCGACTACCTTCAACCACCTGAAATGACAACATAATCCGTACGATATCTAGTCACATAAACTAATTACCAAACTGCAATGTGGAAAATAAAACCAACCAGCACTCAAACGACTAGACAAGCATGACATTGTTCAGTACTCATTGATCAATTATTTCAAACCATTCATTACTCGTTATGGTTGATCGACTGTTGATTTTCCATTAGTCGTAATCGTTGATTTCTCATTATACTGATAATCAATTAGCCACATCAAATTATTTCTCTCCTAAATTCCATTTCATTTGAAAAATTTCTTGAAAGAGTTCGAATGGTCATTTAACTGATCCACATTGTCAGAATGTTTGTTCTTTGATATGACTACTTTATCGTATATGCGGTATAAATGCATTTATCACTCATTTCCATAGATTATCTTTCTCATATTTAAGAACTTACCTTGACCATTCACGATTTCCAGATCGAGTTGCTATTTCTACTTCACTTGGCGGTGCTAACGAATATGTTTCAGTACAATGTCTGTTCTTCATCTTCAATATACGATTAGAGTCGATTGAAATATTCACTCCGCTCACGTGAACAAACATTTGTCCTGAAGTTTAAAAGGCAGTAAACCATGAATAGTGAGGCTACAACGTATGACATGTTGATTGAATTGTGAAACATATCACAAATCTACTCGAATTGCATGTTTCTTTTATTACTACTACTACAACTAATATTACTACTACTACTACTACTAATATTACTACTACTACTACTAATACCACTACTACTACTACGATCATTACTACTCTTACTACGACTAATACTACAACCACTACTACTACTATTAGAACTGTAGTGGACGGAGATTTCATGAGGACAGCCAATTTGTATTTTTGTTCAGAATCACACAATGCCTTTGTAAAATATGAAAATCTTACATTTAATAAATCACTTGCATATATTCTATCGATTGGCCTTTACACACTTCATTATTCTTCCGATCCTGTTATTATTTCGACTGCTCTACGTTTCCCTTCCTCTTCTCTTCACCTCACTGTTTAGACGGTAGGTATTCTACTTCCGATTCCTACTATCTACTAATTATGTGTGTCCGTGCATACCACACTACTACTACTACTACTACTGACAATAGCAATAATAATGATAAGTATATTAATAATGAATAAATAATACACATACCTGTCTCGTAAAACTCAATTGGTACTGTATATGTGGCTGATTCAATTGTCATTATGCTTAATGTGCATAAAATCACTACGGCAATATACAATTTGAACATGTGGAATATCATTCCTACAGTTGATATTAATAGTAGAAAGCATCACACTATGACTGACATTTTCATGAAAATAAGCAAATATTAAATCATCTCTGTACTTAACTAACTTAATTTGATACACCGTTTGATTATGTTAATTTGATGTTCTTAATGCTGAATATCGGTACAAAACTGTTCTCTATTTCCTAGCACCAAATTCATCTATATTCACTCATGGTCACTTTGATATTTTCTCATTTATACATATGTATAGAGTGATTATAATCAGTGGACTGTGTATGATCTACACTAGGATTTTGTACTGACTGAGAAGTCACACATTAGGACGAAACAGACATCCAGTGCTTCCACGTTTTCCATGGCGGTCTAGATTTAATTGACTCATGAATTCAACTATTAGATGTTAATTTCTTTGGGAAAACCTACAGTCACTGTCAAGTTTACGTTTCATGATTAACTTGGATGAAAATTTTGTGGAGTTGTCAATGAACCTTGAAATCTTACATTATTTCATTTTGCTTCTCATTAGTAGTGCAATAGTACACCTGTTCGACAATCGTCCATTCGTACAATTTACCCATTATGTGCAGTTTCGTATTCTATTTCATTGTGATCGTTGATCCATGAATTCCATTGATCAGTTTAATATTTTCACATGTTCATAGAGTAAAATCTGATAAAGATCGTATTGACAACATTAGTGTTCGCTCGTATGTGTTGTCTTAGTTTTGAATTCAACAAACGAATTCTTGTTTCGTAAGTGGGTTATAATGAGTATTACATACATAATACAGACATAGAGTATACTGATGAACCAATACACTTGTGTACCTGAAATAAACTCATTGTAATGCATCTCCTAAACTTCTATGAATTACCAAGTCAGAAGATAGGTAAACAAGCTCAGTCACAGATTACATTTCATTATGAAAATATTACAGAATAACTTACTGCAATTGTCCTATTATTGTTAGAGATATGACTTGGAGGAGTGAACAATTTATACAGATGAATTGAACGATAAGCCAATGAAAACCGTTGTATGAGATTAAATGTAGGTTATGAACCTTAATGTACCGACATAAACACCAAACGACTGAATGTAACGAAAACATCTAAATAAATATTAAGCGTTATTTGTTGATCAATGATTAGATAATCCGATTAAATGATTAAATGGAATTTACAGAACATTTTGGAATGTTTATTGTTTACAAATCCGCCGTTCATATGCATCCATAAATATGTCTGAGTGAACTCGAATTACATCGTTTTCTTGTTTACATATTAGCTGTATGGCAGTGATGCTTGGATTGATTATTATTATTATTAATAATAATGATGACTTTATTCAATATTATATTTTGGTACTTACGCTAAAACAAAACAGTAATAAAGATATAAAAGGTTGTAAACAACGACAAACTGTACAACTTTTCAAATTAGAGACATGTTATGAATGCGGGTTATTGACTAGGTTTGTGGAGGTATGCCTAATAAGCCTTATTTGTAAATAGTATATGATGCCTTTGGCATTTATTTTGTTTATTTCCACAATCTGTACATGTATCACTAAACGATTGTACTTGTTGTTTAACTATGTGACCTTGACGACGAACTTCCGTTTTTAATTACACATCGCACGACATCGCATCCTTTATCATTTTCCTTGCTTATTGTAATTTACATTTGATCAATTGAACAATTATTGTTTGGATAGCTGAGTGGTCATATTTGTTTAGGTAATAATGCATATTTAAATTTATGATGAATTATAGAACCGTCATTTTACCCAATTACATTGTTTTGGTTCCAACGGGCAAGGGCGCATATCTAACCCACCTAGTCAGCTATTCATCAGCCCGAACCTTAGTTTGGATCGTATATAAGGTATTATAGAACTTTTATAATTTTGTTTGCGTACATGGATTTTAATGTACTTACGTCTCGTTCTACCAGAAGATATACAAGGAGAAAGACAAGCGTGAAGGGGATGGTTAGTATCTGATAAAGTAACACCTGTCTGTCCACAACCACATTAATTATGACCTCGAAAGAGTCACCACACATCTTGCTAACTGCCTCCAGCACTCTCCGCAATACAGCAAAGTCTTTCCTCAAAAGCCCGGGAGAGAATAATGGAGAACAGTAAAGAATAATAGGTAATATGAAGGAATTGACAAATTGTAAGAGTAAATGACGAGTAATCCCAAGAGCATGCAATCTCATAATGTAGTAAGTCAGACGGAAAACCTTCTTTAATAACAATAAAACGTGGGAAGACCAAGACAGATCAGAGGAAAAGGTGACACCAAGATAATTGACCTTCGACACTGTGTTTATCAAAGAGTCTCCGATGGTACAAGCACTATGGGATCTCAAAATAATGTTTAGATTCCGTTCATGTCTCATGCTAAAGTTAACAGCTTGACATTCGGACAGATTAAGTATAAGATCATTACCAACAGACCAACAATCAATACAAGGCAAAAATCCATTCATTTCTATGGGATGTAAAGAGGAAGAGATTGGCATACATACTGTGAGATCATCCGCATACTTCACAAAAGTGTTTTCTGTGGAAGATGGCAGATCATTCAGAAAAAAGAGAAAAGAAGAGGTGAAAAAACAGCTCCTTGTGGTACACCTTCATGAGACAGCAGAGACTCTGAACACTTTCCTCCAAATACAGTGTACTGTTCCCTTTCAGAGGTAGGAACATAGCCAGTTGGTTATCCAGCTGTTAGTGTTGATGTTGGTTTACTTGTTAAGCAAACGTTGTCTTGGTATAGAATCAAAAGCCGAAGTATAGCCCAGAAAAGCGCATCGAACATACTTCTTACCCTTTTCTAAGTTGAACACTATATTGTGATGCAGAACAGCAACAGCATCTAAGGTGCTTCTTTTGCATCTGTAAGCAAACTGATACGGATCAATATGCTCTTTTGTCGCAGGCTGAAGTGGAAGTATAAATAACTTTTCCATGGTTTTGAGGAAGGGTGAAGTTATTGCAATAGGTCTAACTTTCACATTCCTATCACCAGATACTTTCTTGAGTACAGGGATTGTCTTCATCTTCCTCCACATTTCCGGCATGATATTAGATGAGAAGGATCTGTTAAAGATAATCGTGAATGGATGAGATAGGACGTCAGCAGATTTCTTAAAAAGGCGGTTCGGCATACCATCAGGTCCCAAACATCGGGATGAACAAGGTGACTGGAGACATCTTCGGACATCAGCTTCAGTGAAACTAGGAACACAGCGATTTTATAAACCGGTGGATAAAGAGAGCATCACATCAAGTGGCTGACGTACAAAAGACGTATTTAAGTCATACAAATTCAGCTGGCTATCGCTCCTAAACTCTCTGTCACCTGTAAGTTCTTTATAGAGTTTCCACATACTTGGAGAGTTTTCGCAAGACAATAGTTTATGAGTAAACGTAGAGTTGAGACGTCTAATCTCTAGGTTTATCAGACCATTTAGCTTACGAACTTCATTGGAGTTTCTCTCCTTGTACATTCTTTCTTTCACCCTCCGTAGTCGTTTTAGTTGTGAAGATGTAAGTCAATCAAAACTCACAGAAATTGTTTCAGTGAGACAACAAATATCAAAACAGAATTTAAGGTAACAGGTGATAACATCGGTAGTGATTTCCAGTGAGTCATCTGTAAATAATTCTCAGTTAGTCGTATGAAACATGTTTTTCAGATTTTGGATGTTTTCGTCTGAGTAATTCCTATATTTGACTTTCTTGGTTTGACGTAAGAGTGTACTCTTCCCATGCTTTCCATATACTTTAGGTAGAACACGAATTATACAGTGATCCGAGCAAGACAATGGAGCACGTTTACGAGTCGCATATATACACACATCATTAATGAAAACGAAGTCTAAATGAGCATCCAAACGGGTAGGAAAATCTACTACATTTTGTTGTCCTGGTGATGTAAGGAAGCTACAGTCACATGAATTGAAATCACCACATACAACTGAAAGTGTATCACTGAAGGCAGTAACAGCGAACTCAGTGAATTCATCAGCGAAAACAGATAGCGCAGATGATGTGCAGTCTGGAGTCACGTAGATATTGGTAACATAAATATAGTTGTGTTTATCCATATGTTTTGGACGACATCTTAGAGTTAGACAGTCGATAAAGTCATTTGAAAACTTAAAACACACAAACGATGATCGACACCAGTTTACGTTTGAAAACGTAGCTACACCGCCGACACACCTCTTTTTATTGTTTGATCGATCCTGAGGATAAGTTTCGAAATCACGCAGTGATACTAGGCAGTCGTCCTGTTCGATCATAGACATATGTACGGTTTGAATGGTAAGAGATAGATAATCAAATTAGTTAGTGTTATTCCAGACCAAACGGCACTTAATATTTGTGTAGGCGCTATCAAATTACTAAATGTTCCGTTGAACAAGAGATTTCCCTTACAGTTGTAGTTCAGAGCAACCCAATGTAACATTAACAGCTTCAGGTAAATAATGATATCAATGGTTTATCACGTATATCAACTGTCTTCTCCTTTCCATTATCTATAGTGAAGAATGCTTTATTTTCAGGCGTCTTATCACTGATAGGCGTTTTATTTAAACACTTGTTTGTCAAGGAATAAACTTAGTATCAGTATTGGTTTTGGGAAATTTGTTTAAATGGTTTTATATTGTTTCAATGATCTCGAAATTGTTGTTTATTCAGAAGAATATCTGGCTATCTAAATCAACCTACGGTGTCATATTAGGAGAATTAAAGACATTTCAACGAGTGAAGTTTCCTTACTCAAGCTGTACGATCATATTAATTGTTGAGCAACAAATGAAATAGTCTATTTAAACATGTGATGGTGATTATATCATATCACATGTTTGAAAAAATTGCCTAATTTTCAAGAATTCGAAGAAAGATAATAAAAAGATATAATTCACCTTAGGAAGGACACACAAGATAACGTTCGGAGTTGCTTTTGGGAAGCGCTTGCTCTATGCAGCGAATGGAACCTGTTCTGCAAAAGCAAATGGACACACAGATGAGCATTGATTTAGCCCAATTCGGCAGATTATCTTTGACACACTCACGAGTGATGGGGAGATCAGAATAAACGATGCAATTCTTGACAGCATAGAGGGAACTTGAAGTTTCATCGACATTGCTGCTGTTACCACTAAGTACGTTTTGCCTTTCGCATTTCAGTTCAGAACTTTCTTCATGATGCAATTCGACGACTTCCGTAAAATGTGACCTACCCAACTTTTGGATCTTCTACTAACGTCATTTTCAGCTGGAAGCTGATTTGCCAACTACCTGACTTGACTATTACCAAGGATATCAGATCAATGTAGGCAGCCGTTTATAAATGTCTGTACCTATTTGATGGCGGCTAAATTAGTTCTTCAAGTTTCAGATCCCTGAAATAAGATTGTCATGACGTTGGAATCAAAACTCGTAACATTGGTATTGACTGACAGTTATTATTATTATTGTTCACTGGCAGCTTGAAATGTTCGAATTATCTTTTCAATGTCGCATCATTTGGCATTTTTATTTTGACCTGATAAGCAAAGTGTATTTGTGTCCTATGCCACATTACTTTAGTCTGATTAGCATTATGAGTAGTCGAAACTGTGTTTTGTGATTCATTATATTCATCAACGACAGTGAGAATGTAAGTGTTTTGAAATGTAGAATAAGTGGTGGAATGAGAGTGGTCATCATTCCATTTGAAATAGTTTCAGATCAAAATAGTAGGTATTTTACATAGTCTCATCAACAGACAATATCTCAACTGAGAAACAAATATGGTGGCTCCCAAATGAACTGTTTGATGTTGCGATGCAAGTCGTAACCGACGGTTTCAAAAATGCTGAAAATGAGGCGGATACATACAGCCAATAGTTAAGATGCCCAATTTATTCAATATTTTATGGTTAATACCATACGGAATTCTCAGCATAGTTCTCCTACCTACAGAAATCATTAGTGAATTGTGAAGGATCTATCGGCAGATGAGTAGATATCGGAACCGCTGAACACAGAATTCAAGTTTGATTAGAAATTGTTTCTGTTATTGAGTTCCTTATTGTGTCGTCATGGCTGAATGAGAAGTAGGCAATTTAGAAGGTGGAATATCGTAGTGCAGAGAGTGATGATGTGATGATTATTCATCAATGTTCGATTTCTACTTGTTTCCTGAAATTCCTT